AAAGCCATTAGCTGCGAGCGTGTTCCTTAATGTGGCATAAGCAGCTAAAGAAGATGTATTTATGCTCCTTCATTTGCAATTGATAATCTCAAGAGTGAGAGCCTGGTAATAAATAGTCTCGCTGGGGCTCCCGTCCCGCTGCAGCCCACGCTACAGAAGGGAATAGATGGCTCATTTGCATAAGATAATGAAACTGCAGCGAAATAGTAAAATTGCAAAGCAACTTTGTTTTAATAATGACAGATGCTTCTTAAACACTTTAATGATGTCTCTCCGAGCAGTTTTCAGCCACAAGCAGAATGAACTTGAGAGAATCAAGAGATTCTTGCAGTGAAACCCGGAGCCTTCCTGCGAGATCCACCTCTTCTCTTCCCCGTGTTGCAGTGATGCCCTCACCCCGTGCTCTGCCCCGTGCCCTTCCTTCATGTAACAACACCCCCTCCATGCTGGTACCCACAGAAGGAACCCACTCACTTTGGCCATGGCAGAGCACCGTGGGGCTGTGTGTGTTGCCTGTGCACCATCACTTCCCTGCCCTACGAACCCCTTTGAAAGCATGTTAACTGAAGCCCATATGTTACATCAGTGCTGCCAGAAGATCTCTTGTTTACTGAGATCACACTTTCGCTCTGTGTTTGGAGCCTGCAGCACAGAACCATTGATACAGGGCTCCGAGTGAGAGGTGTCAGCACCCTGTCTGCCTGCAGTTTGCTCCGTGCTCCCGGCTCCAGCAGTGCTGCATCCCTGTGCAGCTGCACTGCTCTGCAGTGTTTGGAAGCCCATCTCCACGGATCCTGGGAGATGCTCCCCGCAGGCAGCGCTCCAGGCATGACAGCACCAGGGAGCATGTGAGCCTTTTGGTTTGTTTTCAGAGTTGGGAAGTGCAGAGGAAACCCCGCGTCCTCTTCTTCAAGAAGGCATCCTCCTTTTCTCTGTTCCATCTCCAAGTCTTTGAGGAAGTGAGGCGCGTTCAGCTCACGGGAAAGTTCAGTCCAGACCTGGGGATGGGTTTAATTGGTTGTAGGGCTGCTGTTGGTGTCCGCTGCCCTCGTGCCACAGGATCACAGAATTGTAGGGTTTGGAAGGGACCTCTAGAGATCATCGAGTCCAACCCCTCAGTCACAGATTGGAGCTCTGTGCTTTGGGATCAGAGGATGCTGCTGCAGACAGAGCAGTTCTGCTGTGATTTGGGCTCTGCAGGTTAGGAATCCACAACGCAGACAGCAGGCACCGTTCCCTGATGTTTGCCCTGTTTGCCCCCATGGGAAGGGACTGATGCTCAGAGGGAGCGCGGCGCCTTTTGACGAGTGAAAATCCATTGTCTGATTAAATATTCATGGCACATGATTGGCAGCACCGTGCGGGCTGAGTGGCAGGGTTAATTACTGCCTGGTGACACGGCGCAGTGCAGCATGGCGCGGTGCAATGTGCTGGGAGGCCCCCAGAGCAGCCCCACGTGCTGAAGGAGCCGCGCGAAGGCATCGGCTGCTTTTACCTTTTTTTCCCCTTCTTCTTTTTGCCGTGTCCTCTGCATATTGATCAGAACAAAAAGAGGAGCTCTGCGGGGCCTTCCTTGGCAGGAGGACGTCGGTGCTGCGGCTTTCCAGGGCTGGAGTGAATAACAGAGATGAGAACAATTTATGAGGTGACCCTTAGGAATAATTAGAGTGGGGAGAGATTCTTTTGACCGATGCTCAGGGAATGGCAGCTTTGGGAGATTATTCAGAGCCCAGAAGGGCTGAGGTCCACCCATGGCTGTGGCATCCCTGCAGTGAGCATAGCCATGCAGTGCTGTCCCTCTCTGTGGACCACAGCTGGGCTGTGATGCTGTGCTGCATTTAGGAGCTGCATTCCAACTAGGGGAGATGGAGACATCAGCCACAGACCGAGGCAGATTTCGTTGTTTTCTAGAAATCATTTTTTATTTAAAATTTAAAACCATATTACTTCATACAGCAAACTGTGCACTTTGATATATCACAGTGTCTTAAAAAGGAAAATAATTGGAATTTTTTCTTTTTTTCTTCTTTTTTTTTTTTTTTTTTTTTTGGAAATTTTATTTACATCAGCCTAGAATGATCAGCAAGTAACACAGTTACTATGAAACCAAAATTGTTACAAAATGTTTACAAAAAACTATATTCATAGAAATTCTGCATGTCCACAAAGGAAATTCCCCTGAATGTCAAGGAGACCAGTTTTTATTTTTTTCTATTTTTCCTTTTTTTTTTTTCTGCACTCTTTTCCATTGTTGTTGTCAGTTGGTTATTTTGTTTTTTTTTTTTGTTGTCGTTTTCCCTTTTTTATTTCTTTTTGTCCACTCTTCTGTTTGACAAAGGTGTGGGCAGTGCAGTGCATCCCACACCGCAGCGCTGTGGGGCTGAGCGGCGTCCCTCCGTGTGCTGACTCCGTGGGTTTGCAGCGTTGGTGTCTTGACCCAAATCTCAGCAGATCAGCCTAAATGGAGGAGCAGCCCCAGTGGGAGCTGCCCTTGTGTCCCTGCTCTGTCTCACAGGAGACTTGGAAGGAGAAAGCAGGTGAGGAAGGGACAGTGAAGGGGAATGGGGACGCTGTGGGTACAGTTCCGTAGCCCTAATGGGTTTTCTTCATTTTCTCCTCACTTCTTCAGTCCCTCTGCACACCAAGCAAGGAATGAACCTGCTTGAGGGTTGGAAGTCACATTCCTAAGACATGAGTCGCAGGTAGCCACGAGCAGGTCACAGGGCAGCTTGCAAAAGGCTTCGATGCTTTGTCATCATAGCTGCACCTTATGGGGTCTCCCCTCTGCCATCTGCCAGGTTCCTCACTGCTGCCTGCACAGCATTGCACAGCCCAGCCCTGGCTGCATCCCAGCTGCGTTCCCTCTGCATCCCATCTGCATCCCAGCTGCATCCCAACCTGCTCCAGCAGTCAGCAGCGATGCTGAGATCAGGGCTGCCCAGCACAGTGAGCAGGGCTGGGGGGGCCGTGGGGCCGATGCTGTCTGTGCTGTGTGTGCTGTGAGCTCGGCAGCACAGTGCTGTCAGCAGAGCTGGTGCTTCCTGGGAGTGAGCAGGATTGTGATGGTTGAACCACACAGACACGTGGAGAGCTGGTGTGTGGTTGGAGAGAGAAGGGAGAAAGCAGAGCCGCAGCGGTTTGTCTTGCTGGCCCACAGCACGAGCAGCGCTGGTGCTCACCTGTCACTCTGGGGCATTTGTGAGTAAAAGGAAATTGAACTGGTGTCAAAGATGAATAACTGGTGCTCACGGCAGAAGCGATATTTAGCTCAGTAACAAAAGAGGTCTGCGGAGAAGCAAAGTGAATGCTGGTTTGGGGGTGGTTTGCTCTCTGGAAATGTAAAGCAGGTTTCAGGCTTTTTTTCTTCATTGTGGTTGTAAAAATCTCTGTCTGATGGCTTATAAATCTGCAAGGGGAGCAGCAGCTCTGCTGCCTTGCCCAGCCCCAGGGTGGTGAGGAGCACTGGTGCATCGGCTCAGGGAGCAGAGCTGTGCTCATGGTGCATCCTCAGCCAGTGGGTGCACAGTCAACAAACTGCAACCGTGATGATGTGCACTGAGGTGGCAGCTTTCAGCTCTGACTTTTCACGATTTCTATGAAAAGGTGGAAATAAATGTAAATTCTTTGCATACCTCTACTTGAGTCAAACTATCCGTTCTTAGTTTCGGGTCTCTACGTTACTTCTTTACATCAGGGGAGAACAAAATAAAGACAAATTCTGTTTTGTGGGGGGGTGGGAAGGGGGGGGAAGAAGCTGTCTCCCCTTGATCTAGGTTGCTAGTTGGGATCAGCTCCAAAGAAACCTTCCTGATGGAGGGTGGGAAGAAGCCCCCCGTGCTGTGGGACGCCGGGCAGGGGCTGGGGGCTGCGCTTTTCTTCAACACCAGCATCTGCACCAGAGCTTTGAAGCACTTTCTGCAGTGCTCGTGGTGCTCGGGGTGACAGTGGGTCTGCTTGCTTCTTTTTGCAGTGGTTGGGAAGAGATGGGTTGTGTTCCCATGGAGGGACGGAGCGGAGCGGAGCTGCTCAGCGTTCCTTTCGGTTAGCAGAGGGGTCTTTGGTAATTCTGACTCGATTGGTGCTCAGGACCAGCCTTCTGGGTTAGCGACCTGAAAAGAAGAACACAGTGCATGGAAGATTCCTTAAGAACACATGAGTGCGTTTGCATGGAGCTGTGGGTGGGTGAGAGGCACTGGGCTGAGCTGCACCGTATGCTGGGACCCCACCGGGATGCTCAGGTGTGAACACAGCAGCTTCATGGCACCCGTCCTGTCCTCCTCTGGGATACAGCTCTCCTCCCGTCTCTGCTGCAGCCCATGAGCTCTGCTGCCTGGCAGCAAGGGGAGGAACCGGGCTGTGTGGTGTGGGGCGTTGGGGCAGCCCCAGGTTGGCAGCAGTTCTTTGCAGTCCCCACACACACCATGTCAGCCCCTTCCCGCCTGGCTGCAGTTCCATTCCAGCTTGCTGGGCTGCCTCTGCTCCACCAATGGCTGCTGGGGTGCCTCCTCCATGCCAGCAGCTGCAGTGCGTCCGGAGGCTTCTCCTGTCCCTTTCTCCCAGGTGTGCCATGCACACCCGATGGACAACAACATGTCCCTTTATTGCCGTGCTGGAGGAGCTGTGCTCGGGGGCTCCTCGCTGCCCGCTGGGGCTCAGTTTGGCTCAATTCAGTTGTGCCTCCATGTGTTCTCGGTGTGTAAACATCAGACTCTGGTGGGGCGTTGGGCTGCACGAGGCCAGGGAGCAAAGCTGTAAAAAAATGAGGAATGAAAAACAAGAAAAAACAAAACAGAAAAGCCCCGAGACCCACAGTGCAGTCTGTGCTTTGACGTTGCTGCTTCTGCGCCGGTGATGGATGCAGCTGTGTTGAAAGGCCTTGTTCTCGAAATGAACCAAACCAAGCTTTTTTTTTTTTTTTCTTTTTTTTTTTTTTTTCTTTCCTGCGTTTTTTCTGTCTTTCTTTCTTTTTTCCCTCTTTTTTTTTTTTCCAAATCCTTTCTTCCCCCACTTCGGAGCAAATCCTTTGCACATCCTTCCCTCCCGCCCCCAGTTTCTGCTGCCTATGGGAACACGGGCGTCAGGCCGGTGTTGCAGCTCATGCTGTCCTTCCCTGGCAGCCGGCGGTCGTTGAAGGTGTGCATGTTGATCACAGCATCTGCCTTCACCATGACGGGTGGGGGTGGTTTGTGCTTGACCCGGCGCTGGCAGGTGAGCGACAGCCGGATCTCATCGGCCACCGCGCTGCAGAAGGAGCGCTGCGGAGAGGAGGCACAGAACGCATCGTTACCACCCTGTGCCTGCAGTTTTGGAGCTCATCTCTGCAGCAGCAGAGGTTTGGGCCGTGCTGAAGGCATCAGGTTGGATATTAGGTGAGATTTCTTCTCCAAAGAGCAGTGATGCACTGGCACAGACTGCACAGGGAGTGCTGGAGGTGTTCAGGGCTGTGGGGATGTGGTGCTGAGGGACATTGTGGGCATGGGGGGCGCAGGCTGGGGTTGCTTGGGGGCTGAGAGGGCTTTTCTGACCTCAGTGACTTTGTGATTCTATGATCAGCTGTGCTCAATGGGACTTGAGCTGTGTGCAAGCTTTGGGGTTGACTCTCTCTGCTTTGGTAAGGTTATACCTTGTGTATGCTAACTCCTGCAGGAAGACAGAGCTCTGGAGGCTTTGTGTGATGCTGGTGGGGGCTGGTAGGGTTATGAATCAGAGAGGCAGAGTCCTGCTGCACTTGCCAGTGAGCAGTGTCTGCACCTGAATGCCCTGACACACAGCCTGAGTGTTTTGCTGTGGTTTTGCTGTGGATGCGTTTCCCATTACAGCACCGCAGCACGCAGGAAGGACATTCCTACAGGCTGCCTTTCAATGCCATGGGCTCTCATTGTGCACAGGATGGGACGGGCAGGGAGCACAGGGAGTGCACCTAGGGGTGCTGTGGCTCTGCCCTATGCAGGGGGCTCGGGAAAGGGAAATCCTCAGCCCAGGGCTAGCAGGGAGGTGTGGGATTGGTACCTGCTCACGTTCCGCCGTCTTCCGCAGCTTGTAGATGAACTCCACCATGGCCACAAAGACCGACAGCACCAAACCTGCTGCCAGCACGATGAAAATGCCACCAATGTTCTGGATGCCCAGGGCACTGGCCTCCTTGTTCTCATCCTCAGGGCAGCCGTTCCCCCGCCACCACTTCTCCTTCATGACGTGCAGCTTGTCCTCCTCCTGCAGCTGCAGGATGGCGATGGTGATCTTGTCCCGGTACGGTGAGCCTGGGGGCAAACAGCACAAAGTGGGGATGCCCTCCTGGTAACCAGGACCTCCAGATCTCTCTTTTGGAAGGTGGTCCGTATGAACTTTGGTGTTTGGAAATCGGCTGTTGGGAGAGGATTGTGTCCCTACAGCCACTTACCCATGGGTGTCCCAATCCCGTAGCCTTTGGAGTCGATGAGCCCCCCGACCTGGGTGAGGTTGCAGTTCCTCTGGGTGATGTACTCGATGGTGGTGGACTCCATCAGCAGGGCGTAATCAGCTGTCAGGGTCCGCTGGATTCCTTCCTCGTTGTTCTTAACGAGAGCTGTGGGTTTGCTGCTCATGAAAGCCCACATTTTTTCGAAGGTGGAAATTTTGGATTTCTGGGAAAATGATACCAAAATAAGAATTAATGTTCTGTTTGCTGGGGAAAAGAAAAAAATTGCATCTTTACAGTTAAAAAAAAAAGACAGTGAGAGAAGACACAGAGAATGTTTTGGAGGATCTGTTTTTCTCTCTCTCTCTCTCACACGCTCTGTTGTATTTCTGTCTTTCCCCAAGCACCACAAGGAAACGTCTCCTCTGAGGTACGTGCAACTGCCAAACAAATTTAACGTACCCACATAAACAGAGGCTTGGAAATATTCGAGAAGATTGTCTTATGGTTAAAAATAGGCTCTGGTATTCTTCCACGAGCAGCAGGCGTTCTGTTAGAAAGGAGGAGCATGCTGTCTAGTTTGCTCTTTGTACAGGCACGTTTTTCTTCTAGGAAATGTGTTGGTGAGAAGAAGTGTGGCTCTTTTTGGTCTTTCCGTAACATCTTAAATACAGCCTTTGTCTGTGACCACGCTCTTGGTCGGCTGCTGTGCTGGGGACAAGCACAAGGCTCATCCTGCACACGGTTCTGGCTGTGCTATCCATGTATTTATATAGGGGAAAATGAGCTAAGCCAGGCAGTCCCTCTTTATGATTGATATTTCGGACGCTTTGCCTGTCCGCCTCCTTTATTCAGCACGTGGGTTTGTGGCTGTGCTCACCCATCCAGCACCCCAGCAGTGCCACGTGGTGACAGAGGCCATTCCTCTGCTGCTGACCCATGGGCTCATCCCTGCTGGAACAGCCACGGGCTCGTTGATGTCAATTAGAATTCACACTCGTTATAATCCGCTGATGAACCTGCGGTGCAGGAGCGAGCTGCATTCAGGAGGCAGGATAATCTCCCTCGCCTGAAAATCCGGTCCAGTGCCCGTGAGCTAGATTTGTGGCATCTATCAAGCCTCAAAGAGCAGCAAGAAATGTCGCCTCCAAAAGGATTATTAAATATCTGTGCATTACGATGGGTAATTGAAATGAACAGCGCACTCGAGTTGCCGATAACGACTTGTTTAACATTTATATAGTTCAGATCAGAGGCCTCTGGGTTCACTGGCTCTCCCTTTTGCTCTTTCTCTTCCTGCATTTAATGCTCCTTGGGTGTTGACACAGGGCTCTTAAACAACATCAGTGTTCTCCCAGTTTAAAGCGCAGAGCAAAATAAACTGGCAAAAAATCAATAGGCTGCATTTAGTGAAGCTAATAGGACTTGCATGAGGCATTGTAGCTCTTCAGGCAGCTTAAATTACATGAGACAGGACTGCTTGGAACAGAAAAAAACCCCCACTTTTCTCTTCTCTGCTCTTCTTAAATCCCTTCTTTTGACCTGCTCAGGGACTTCATTGTGTGGAAATAGCAGGATGGATGCTGCATGTCTCCAGCACGGAGTCCTGGGCTGCAGACCTTCCTGTTTGCTGCAGCCCCAGCCTTGTGTCTGCCCAACAAGCTGCTGTGGCCTCGTCCTCCCCAAACAGAGCCCTGGGGTGAGCTGTGGTTGCAAAGGCAGCTCAGCACAGCTCAGCATAGCTTGGTGCAGCTCGGCACAGCTCTGCTTTGGCTGAGCTCTGCAGTCTGCAGCCCTCCACCTCCCCACGGGGAATTTATTTCCAGTTAGTTTCTTTAACTCGGCTAACAGGAGATAAGAGCAGTCCCTCTCCAAGCGAAAATTCGCCAGCTGTAATTCTCAGTGCAGCACCAGCGGTTTGATAGAGCTGGCTATTTGTTAGAAGTCCAATTTAGAAGTGATTGTCAGTCATGGTGAGAGCAGCCATCAATCAGGCATTGCAGGAGGAATGGGGAGCTGCAGCTCACACCTCACAGAGCACTTAGGGGGGCCTCATCCGTCTATGGGATGTGGGTGATGTCCCCTGGGAGCACACCATTGCCATAAGCAAACCCGTCCTCGTTATGCACAGTAATTCGTTAGCAGTAAATGGATACTCGGTGGGTACATATGTCTTTACACGTTGTGGGATGTGAATACAGCACCTGGAGGTGTTCAAGACCAGGTTGGATGGAACTTGCTGACCCTTGGGGTCCTTTCCAGCCCAAGGCATGCTATGGCGGCAAGCAGCCCCTGCCCTGGAGCTGAGTGAGGGGCATGCAGAAGTGGGCAGCAGCCCCACTGTGTGCAGGGAGTGCAGGAACTCAATGCCTCTGAGCTCATTCTTTAGAGTCACAGCTCAGGAGCTGCCTTTAATAACCAATGCTTCAAGAGCAGTCACCCAAATAAATTAATGGAATAGTTTAGAGGAGGCAATATGAGGCATCTTGCCAAGACATATATGCTTTTTTATCAGTGAAATTGGCAAGAAAGTAACTTTCAGGCTGACGATTTTCAATTCCAGCCTGTATGAAAAAATAAATTGATTTTCCCCAACTGAAGATACTTACTCTGGAGGATTTAACATTTCTGTACAAGTGAATGTATGTGTACACACATCCACACACCCTCACATTAAGCCCCACGTTTGTTCAGAGCGAGACAGCATCTCCTGCACGATATGAAGGATTCCTGGCATGATCCGCAATGAAAGCGAGATGCTGCTCCCAAATTAATTGATCTGTTTACTCCTGTAACTCAATCTGCATCGCCGGGAAATAAATAGCTGCTCCAAGGTTCTTCTCATGAAGTCGCAGTCTGCTGATGCAGTCGGGAAGCTCTCAGTGCTGCGGTCTATGGGGGGCTGTGGGGGTCTCAGGGTGGGCAGCAAACAGCTCTGCCAGCTGCCCATGCATGAGGGCTGAGTGGGTGCAGCATCCCCTGTGCTGTGCCTGTGTGTCAGAGGGCAGTGCTGGCATTCATCTCCAAACAGCAACGGCACAACGCAGGGAAAGGGAGATGTGCTGCAGCACTGAGCTGTGCCAAGTGCCCATTAGAAGCCCAGAGAACGATTCTGATGCATAATGATAGGAAGCTATAAAGATGCTGTGTCCTTGGTTTAAAAAAAAGATAGTTTCCTTTTATTTCCATATAAAACTCTTATTGGAAGGAGTAGTTAAAACGCCCCAGTAAAAGGCTGCGTCTCCCAATGGCTGCTCCTTCAGGAGGCAGCACTGTGCTGCTCCAGGTTCAGCCAGCAGCCATGGTGAGGAATCCTACTGCTGACCATCAGAGACCCTAAAAGACCCCCACCACACACAGACTGAGCGTTTGCAAGGAGACAGAACCCTGCTTCCATGATTTCAGGGGGAGTATTGGATGCATACTGCCCAAGAAAACCTTTGCATATGCAACACATGCTCTGCATGTAAGCTGAATATCAGTTGTGCAAGGCACACGTGGTGGTGTGCAAGGATCCCCTCGTGCACTTGGCACTGAGAATAAAGCATGCCTCTGTGTTCTGCCGTGGCCTTTTCTTGCAAGACAGCTTTTTAAGGTCACCATTAAATTTAAATTCCTCTCCAAGCTGGGATGCTCATTGCTTAGGTTAATCACCCCTCATTTCGATTCCTTTATTCTCTTGCTCTTTTCTAAAAGTGTGTTTTTAAAGGCCAGCTGCGGTTCCAAAGGTCTTTTTAAGTCTCTGGGTTTCTTTCCATTTTTGAGGCAGCAGTGAAATATGAATGCTCTTGGCACCCTCCCTGCAGTGTTGGCTAACTTCTGAAATTATGTTTTAAGCAGCAGAAATAAACGTGACTTGATTCTGAAGCCTTGGTGGCATTGCCATGCATGGGGCTTCAGGAGGTAACGTGAGCAGGGGCACCATGGGGCAGGAGGGGCATTTTGGCTGCACACAGAGCAGTGTGACCCAGGATGGAGGAATAACGGTGGGGGAAGTGTGGAAATGGGGATTCTTAGGGAATGAAGGAGTTTTCTGTTGGCTTTAGTGTAAGGAGCGTCCATCCTCTTTGCTGTAGGTTGGAGCATCTAAGCCTGTGCTGGGTACAGCCCCCATTGCTGCAATTTTATAATTGCAACTTCAATTAGCAACTGGGAGAGAAGGATTTAGCCATGATGTGAATCTAGGTAAGCTAAAGCGACAGGGTTAATGTCTTAATGAAGATGGCAGGCAGGAACAACCTGCTGGAGAGGGGGGCAGCATCCCGAGCCGGGTCTCACCTTAAAGAAGGTCATGGTTGCGCCGTCCTTCACAGCCCCATACTCGATTTTGGTTTGCTTTGCCAGGTCGTCTGCTGAGTCAATGGGGGATTCCATCCTCTCCACCGTCAGGAAGGCGGCGAGGTTGGCCGTGTAGGACGAGATGATGATGAGGGTGAAGAACCACCAGATGCCACCGATGATCCGCGTGGAGAGAGCCTTGGGCATCAGCTCAGAGCCTGGGGGAGGGGGCAGGGGGGGATGGGACCAGAGGAGGGACCTGTTTTATATCCATCATCCACGTGTATACATACATATACAACAAGGATTGGGTTTCACTGTCAAACTGTAACAGCTACGCAATTAAAGCCGGCTGCTTCTGAGGCACGTCATCCAGATGCATGCGAGGAGATCAGTGGGTCCCTCTGCCCCTTTCTTGCTGACCTTGGGTACAGTGCACAATTTACATGGAACATTCAAACCGAAGTAATTAACGAGGCAGCTTTTATGAGATTTGAATAGCAAGGCACTGATGAACTTTGATGAGTGTTTTGTTCTGCCATTTGAAGAGTGCTTTGCTTTTATACGGATCACTTTTCAAAGCGCTCACTCCAGGGAGTGTGTTCAAATACACAAGGTTTAAAAAGAGAAATCAAACACTGAGAGGAAGGAACTATCAGGGTCCGGTGCTTTGAATGGTGGTTAGAAGTAGGGGAGCTGGAGATGCTGCTCATGAAAGGCGTAACAGGACTGGAATGACTTCTACTGAGCAAACATGAAGGACTAAATGGGCTGTGCTATTTTTGTAATCACCCAAGACACCTTTTAGAGCCAGGAAAGAGCTCTGGGTTTGAAACAGCTGCATTTGGAGGATACAACCAACCTGGAATTTGCAACAAAGAGCAATTTTGGCTTTGCAGAGCAATTTTGTGCAGCAGCATCAAAGCCTGGTGTGGAGTGCAGCTTTTCTCCTGCCTGAGCGCAGCGAAGAGGCGCAGGGAAGCAAAGCGTTGGGTTTCCAGTTTGCTTCAGTTCTTCTCAAGACGCCTCTCCTCTCCATCCCATCCCTCGCCCTTTGATGCACAGGGAAGTGTGACATCAGTCTACCTTTGAAATGTTTTTCTTCTTAGATGTGGGATTGAATTGAAAAGAATACAGCTCTTTTCATGTATCCGCAGCTGCTGCCCATTGGGGGCAGGTATGGGCAGGAGCCCCACTGCTGTGGGGCAGTGCTGTGGGTCTGCCACTCGCTGGCTGCCACCACCACTGTGGGATAAATAAAATGGGAAGGGTGTTTGATGTTTTCCACTGATTCCTATTCCTGGATTTTCTGCAATTAGACCACAGCTGTATTTTGCTCCTCATTCAGCACTGCTCACAAGCTCGCTCCGTGCTGTCTTCCTAATGGATTTACTCTATTCATTCCATCTCTATACATTCTTTTTGCTCTGTTGCATCCATAGATACAGCTGTAATCCTATCTGTGCCCGTTTCTAAGCTCCCTGCCACGCTGGTAACCCACACCAGCAGCTCTGGGAGTGCTCCAAAGGGCTCTCAGCCATTTCCCAGTGCTCCAAAGGGCTCTCAGCCATTTCCCAGTGCACAGAATGACCACACAGGGATGGAAACAGGGACAGATCAGAGTGCACAAAGCTCTGTCTTCTGCAATAGATCTGAGATAACATATTTAAACACATGGCTGAACTAACAGAGCTGGAGGGCTGCTGCTATGTGTGGCACTGCCCCTGCACAACCCACACTGCGATTCCCAATAGCTGCTCTGGAGCTGCTCCTTCCAACACCTGCACGTGTCATTAAGAGTAATTACTGTTTGCAGGGCACATGTGAGCTGGCTGTGCCCTGCAGGGTGAGCTCATGGGATGGGCTTTGAACCAGCGCCCAAAAAAAGGGGGAAAAAAAAAGGCTGAGATGCTCAGTGCTGCTCTCACCCAGCAGAAATCTGGGGGCTCTGTGGGCACACGGATGTAGGAACCCCATTGTGGGCTATGCCTGATCAGAGCAGCCCCACTCCCCATCCCCTGACAGCTGTGCCCCGGGGCTGGCAGTGTCCCTTTGTGGTGTCTGCTTGGATCTGACAGACACAGCGATGCTATCTTGTTCCTGTCACATAGAAATGAAGCCGTACGTCTGAAAAGCCGCGGTGTGGGAGAAGCAGCAGGGAGCTCTGTACCTTGCTGCATCAGCGCGCCCATCCCGAACCAGAAGCTGTTGAACAGGGTGAAGTTGTTCTCCACGATGTCTGAGCCTGGGTTGCAGGGATGTGCATCGTACCACTCGTATGGGCTGAACCTGTGGGGACGCAGAGCAGGAGCTCATGAGCTGGGATGTGGCACAGAATACAGGCCATGCACACCCGGTGCTGCGCGGGGCTGCTGCTCCATTTGCCCTTGCAGCTCCTTAAAAGAAAAAGGCAAATTCAGTGCCAGGTTTTGGGCAGTAACCAGCGTGGCTGTGAGGCTCTCTGTCCCACACTGCTGCAGAGATGGGACGTGACAGATGTGGGAGCAGCTGGGATCCTGTGCCTCCGAGCAGAGGTGCAGCGCTGATCCTGCAGGCGGCTCTGGTGCAGGGGACTCTGCTCGTGCCTGTGGGATTGCACCCAGTGGAGCTCCTCACAACCCCACAAGCAGCAATTCTGTGTGTCAGTGCTCACTGTGGGCACACAGGAGAGCACTCTTCTCCAGGGGGAATCTCCATGGACAGTCCTCTGTTCATGGGCAAAACAGAAGGAATTCAGTCATCTCTGCACACATCCTGCCCAGGAGCAGTCCATAGGCACTGCCTCTGTTAGCCAGGAGCTGGGGTGGATGCCCCATAGGAGGGATGCTGAAGTCTATAGAGCTTACATTTTTAACGTTTTACAAATATTTACATTATTTTAGAGTCCCAGATTTTGCAGAGATTAAATTAAAACCATAATTGACATAATTGTTCTTGAACCAGGCATTAATTATCATCTCCTTCTGAAATCCCTATAGCTTTGCAGCAACCCCATGGCGGAGCCCAGCCTGCAGCTCACGCTGGGCAGTGTTCCCCCATAACCCATGTTGGATGTGCTGGAGGTTTGGTGCTTTGCTTCTCGTGTCCACAGGCATGGAGGGGGATGTGCTCAGAGCACAGAACAGCTCTGTCCCAACATAAAGAGCTCATGATTCAAGGAGCTGCCCCAACCTCTGCTTGCTGCATGCACCTCTCACAGAGCCCAAACTCTATAATGCAGGATGGAGCTGTGCAGGGGATCCTTGGAGCTGCCCCCACCACCCCCCTCCCTCTGAGTGGTGAAATGTGAGAAAATCAGAGAGGGAAAGCAAACACTGGGCTGAGCTGCGCTCTGCCTCATCTGTTCAACCTGCTGTCAGTGTGTGCTGTGTGAGCAATGCTGCCTGAGCCCCAGCTGTGGGGTAGAGGTGGAGTTCGGGGCTGGATGGAAAATTTCTCAGGCTGCCCGTGGTGGGCAGTTAGACAGAAAGGAATTGCTGAGATCAAATGAGCCTGGCAGGTTGGCACGCTGCAGAACTTCAAGGTCTCTGAGCGAGAACCTACCGATGCTGTTCAGATTACAGGGAAATATTCAGAAAATTGCAAAGCAGCGACCGCCTTCGGTGCTTGAAAAGCAGCAGGACTGTTAAAAGAAGGGGTGGGTAAGGAAGGAAGCAGTGAGCACTGCTTGGTGACCCCATGCAGATGCAATCTGGGCTGCTTGGGATGTGCCGTGGCCCAGCATCCCTCTTCCTCAGGTGCAGAACAGGGACTGAGAAATATTTCATCAAAACCTCTGATTACTTTCTTGTCTCTTTTTGGCAGGGGAGCATTTCAAAGAAGGCTTAGTTAAAGGTGAGATCTAACACGAAATGCTTCTGAGTCTAAATTGCACCTCCAGAGAAATCTCCCATGAATCACCCGGTCTTGATTGCAATTAAGATGAGTGTTGATCCCCACCCTGCTGCGCTAGAAGTGATGGGTGTTGGCTGTGGCCCCACACTGTGTCCCCTCACAGGAGATGCCACGGAGCTGTTGGCATTGTGGTTCTCCAGGACTGGGAGCAGAAAGGCTGATTAAAGGGGGAGAGGATCACATCCATCGTTCCCTGCCTCTGAGCAGCCCCTGGGTTGGCTGCGAGCAGCACTGACCTATGGCTGTAACAGCAGCACATGACCCTGGTGCCTGGTTTGGAGCTCACAGCTCTGAGTTCAGGCTTTGTGATGCTGAGTGTTTTTTTCTCCGGAGGTTGGAATCTGAAAGGCCTGGCCAGGGTCAAAAGCAGATATTGGCTGTGTTGCCTCTGAGTGTGATAAATACATCCCATATTTCCCCCATGAAAGCTCTCAACTCTCTGTTGTTCCTGCAGAACCTTAGCTACGTGGAATGCTTGATGTTCTTAAGAGAGTCTCAAGGCAGAAGGAGCATCAGGACCAGAACACTGTTTGTAGGGCTGTGTTTCAGCCCCTGTGTAGCCCACACAGTGCTGTGCAGTGGGGCTGAGCAGTGCTGAGTCCCAACACAAGTGGGGGCTGTGGGGGTCAGGGGCTGCCAGCACTGTCCTGTACTGCAGTGCCTTGTGTGGCTGCAGAGTGCACAACAAACACGCTTTGGAAGAAGAATCTGAGTCCTCTGAGCTGGGTTTGGTACTCAGATGAGTAGGGAGAAATAAACTCATAACAGTTAAAACTGTATTTGAATTCTAATTCCAAGCTGTGCGAGCATCCCTATAATTGATGGCGTTCGAGCCAAAGACGTTACGGCAGCAGAGTCCATCTAGCTGTGCTCTGCATGGCTGACAGAGACATAAAGTGAAGAAATTCCATTAATCATCGCAGTATTTCTCCTTCCTGTAATTACCAGGGTTCTCTGTACCCAGGTGAGCAGCTGCCTGCTGAGAGCACCAGCACTGGGGGCTCAGTGCCTTCTGCCCTGGCCCAGGGCTCTGCCACATGGCAGAGGTGCATTGCAACGACAGGGAGGGAGAATGCTTCCCTTACAGCCTGCAGCCCTGGAGACCTTTGGTGCCATCAGGGGATGTGAGGCCCCTGCAGTGGGGGGTCAGGGGTGGAGAAGCTTTGCCCCCAAGGTGGGCTGGGGAGCGCTGGTGCTGTCTGCCAGGCAGGGATTCCTCTGACAACTGCTGTGATGTGTAATTAGGATATTACACAGTAAACTTAGGAAATCATCTCTAAAAGCCTCCAAGGACCTGAGGGAGGTTGAAAATTGCAGATTTGTTGGAACATGAGGGTTAATCGGTTCTAGTTACTGCAGTTTCATGTTTAATCTCTGCTCTGACTGCCTGATGGATGGCAGAGGCTGAGGCAGGGGCTGCCTCCTACATTGTGCTGTGGGGAGGCACAGCCCTGGGAGGCAGCAGGGGCTCCTGAAGCACTGCTGCATGGCTAGAGGTGTGCAGCAGGCTTCTCTGGGCCTCACCCCACATATCTGAGCACCTAAGGAGTGTACAGGGCCAGGGATATGGCCAACAGCAAGCAAAGGCTTTGTTCTGCTTTGAGGAGGTGGCATCACGTACTCAGAGGAGCCCTGGACTGTGAATCTCATCAAAGACGCTGTGAAATTAATAACACATGCAAATGTATGCAAATTCTGCTGCTTTTAAATATAGAGGTTTTAAACATGTTAATTAGATGCATATTAATTTCTGTAAACAGACACATTGTCGGGTCCGTAGCAATGCGCTCTCCGTTCTTTTGCCATTGGGAAGGCTGTGGGGCTGGCTGTGCCCTTGCTGGAAGTGGGCTGTGCAGCAGGGGAGGCACTGATTGGAATGCACACAGTAGGGTCACTACAGGGAAGACAAAAGTTGGGCCCATTTTGGTTTAACACAGAGCAGTGCCACAGCAGAGCACAAAGCCATCTGCACTCTGCAGAGCCACGGATGCCCTAAGACCCTGTGCTGCAGCTGATGCTGGGATCTCCCTCTGTGGGAAGGGCAGGAGTGGAGTGGAGCAACGGGTCATGGGCCAGGGGTAATCTCATTAATGAAACAGGATTAACATCGTGGCTCCTGTGGTGCAGTCGGATCCCTGCAGAACTCTGCGAGGTGTGGGGAGCAGCGGGGCCCTGTGGGCATCCCCTTACCTGGCTATGACAAAGAGCACGCAGCTGACCCCCAGGTAGGCGAGGAGAATGTACATCCAAATATCAGGAGACAAAGGGTTGAGGAAGGAAAACACACTGGGGTTGGTCCCGTTGGGCTTCCGGTACAGAATGCTGACCCCCAGGGTCATAAAGGGCTTGGAGAAGTCTATCGCTTTTTCCCGTACGTGGGTGATGGTGAGAGGAGCAACAGCCAGGTCAGCTTTCTGTGCACGGCACGGGGAGAGACACAAAGGGAGAGAGAGAGAAAGAAGCCATTAGACAGTGAGCATCCTCATCCCTCCAGCCCTGCTCCCCAGCACATGGAGCTGTGTTTGCTGCCTGCTCTGCTCCTGGGATGCAGGGCAGCGGGGCCCCAGGCACAGAGCCTGGATTTCAGCTGGGCTGGGCTGTGGGGAGCCTGGGTTCAGTTTGTTCTGGTCTGCTGAAAGGCAGCATCATAACCCGACCCCAAAGGCTCAGCCTGCACTGCTGGAGTGGCTTGGGAGCCACAGTAAAGCCCATGCTGCAATGGTACAGAGGTTCTGTCATTGCTGCCTTCACCAGAGCTCTCCAAACCTAGCACTGTGTGTGTCCCAATGTGAGCAGGGGAAGCTGTTGGAGATAGTGAAGGATTTCACTCCTGAGAGAGGGAGGAAATGAGCAGTGCTGCGGCCAGGGCCAGCAGCCACCTGCGTGAGATCCTGCAAGCCAGAACTGTCAGAATGATGGAGCAAGCAGAATGCTGGCCAGGAGCTTGTGCTTCGCCACAGAAAACAAAAAGAGAAAAATCTGCATGGATGCCCAAGGATCAAAACGCTTTTAGCACAGTAATAAAATTTTACTGTGTCATTTCAGCAGCTCCCATGATCTGATGGCAGCCCCACATCCTCAGCAGCACGTGTCGCATACAGACAGAAGGAGGCAGCAGCCTGGGCTGTGCTGTGCCCACAGCTTTCAGGGCAGGATGGGGTGCTTTGATGCCCTTTTTCTCAATGCAGATTTTTCTGGAGGTGGCTCTGATTCAGGCTTTGCTGATGGAGAGGCTGTGGGTCAGCTGGATCAGCCCTCCAAGGGTGCAGCTGCCATTGGTGCCACCGTGCCACCATGATCTGGGTATCACATACTGGGCCCTGAATGCTTCTTTCTCCCATCCCCAGCTTTGTGCTCTGCACGGTTAGATGGCTTTTATTAGAAATGAGGAATTATGGTGAGTGCCAACAGCTTAAAGGCCCTTATCCAGCAAAGCCACTTAAGCACACGCTTCTGCCTTCTCGGAGCCTGCACACCCCTCCAAGTGCTATGGATCTTCTCAAGTGCTTCTCTGAACTGAGGCCAGGGAGCCAACATTCTCAACACAGAGCAGGGCAGCCCTGGTGCTGTGCCACTGTGTGCTCCGTGCAGGGGAACTGAGCTCACTGCAGATCTCTGCACTGCTCCCATGGACCGTGCAGTCCCATCTGCAGCTCTGCTCCGTGGGGCCGTGTTGGGCCACAGCTCTGCAGCCCCTGGAGCAGAGCACCAGGACATATATTTATTCAAGAAAGTAAGCTGCCTCGGTGCTTATTTTGCCAATCTGAGCTCAGTGTTTACATAAACTAATTAGGTGTGCGTTCCCTGAGAGACAGGTAAATAGTGCATGCGTTGCTGGGTTATTATCCAGGCCCTTTCTGGCAGCACCCAGACGTTCATCCCCTATCAGGGCATCCCCAAGTGCAGCTGTCCTGCTGGGCACAGCTCTGCCCACTGCTGTGCTGGCAATGCTGGCAGGGAACCCTAGCAGGGAGCTGGGCTGAAGTGGGGAGAGTTGAGGCTCTTTCAATCTTTTCTTTAGGGAAGATCCTCAGAGAGGGAACAGGAACACCTCAGGGTGTCACAGGGATCACAGTGACAGCAACCGAGTTCTTAGGGATGCACCAGGGAGGGAAGAGCGGGGAGCCAGCACAGAGCTGGGGCTGCTCCCCACACCACAGAGAGCTTCAATCAGCCGCTCCATCGGTCTGATCAGTCTGAATGCTCCCAATTAGCAGTGCTGGGCACAGAGGAGGGGTGCAACCCGCTGCTGGGGCTCACTGCCATCTTCTGACACTGAAGTTCCTCCAGGGCATAAAGAAGAAGTGAAACAAGAGGAGCCTCATCCGCCAGCAATTGGTTTTCCTGTTGCTGGCCCCGTGGCTCCCAGATGAATCCCCTCTCTGCAGCACTTGAGATAAACACCCACCAGTGCACAGCGCTAATGGGAACGTGGCAATGTGGTGCAATATGTATTTCTGCCAGAATGTACTGTCAATAAATGCCCATTTATTGTGAAAGTGTTAAATCAGCTGTCATAAATCGTCCCTAAGGATAGACATTACATCTTCTCTATAGTTACCACTGGCAGGGATTTCCATTAGAAACCCTATTATTTTTCACGCCTTTTTTATTCCCACAAGAAGTTTTCAGATTGAATGGAAATTTGATATGTACTGTCTCAGCAGAAGACAAGTTTTATTTGTGAACGAGTTTGTGCAAAATGTCCAGAACAATTCACGCTGTGGTTTTATGTGGCTCTGCCCACAAACAACACGGAAGATTTGCAGCCGTTCTGTTGGCAGACAGCTACGATTTAGAACTGGGATGGATGGGCCACGGCGCGCAGCGCAGCTCTGCTTGTATCAATAATAATTCCTATGAATAAGCAGCAGTAATAGCTCAGTGCTGATGCAGGGCAGAGATGTGCCATTGCCAGCTCGCTGCTCACTGCCTACGGATGCAGGGCAGGGTGGGTGATGCTGCGCAGGGTGAGCAGCAGGAGGGTGCAGGGCAGAGAGTTGCTTGCTTGGGGCTTATCTGCTCCTGAGGGCACAAATGGGGTCAGGCTGTGAGCGACTCTGACTGCTGTTGCTCTTCCTGTTTATGCTTAAGGCCAGAGTGAAACAAAGCAATTGCACAAAGGCGGATTGCCCAAGGCATCGCTGCCTATGGGCAGGCATGTCTGGATCAGAAGGGACAGCGGAAGGATGCCCGACTCCAAAGGCAGCAGTGCAGCAAGCTGTGCAAACAGCCCATCCTCTGTGCACTGTGCACTGCTGTGAGCTGAGCACCACCACACCCCAAAACTCATTTGTCACACCTCCTAAGCAGCCCCACTGCCTGGGCATCTCACAGCACCAGCAGAAGGGCCCGTGGGATGGGAGCTACCCCTGCCTATGTGCTGAGACTTCCCAAAGACCCCCCTGCTTTGCTCAGGTGAGATGGAGATGGCAGAGGACGGTCAGCCCTGATGTCAGTCTTGCAATGAGGGCAGTGCTGTTCCCATCACTGTGTTGTCTGAATGCCATCTCCAGCACTTTTCATAAGTGTTATGACATGGGTTCAAACCCTCCTGAGCACAGATCAGGTGTTGTTCCTCTCCTTGCATTGTAGGAAGGAGCTCTGCTGCTAAGGAAGGGCCGCATCTGGTTGCAGTTTCATTTTTTAATGCTTTACATAAACACTGCTGTAAAAAGCAATGACGTGTAGATAAGGAACGGAATGGCTTCAGACAGGGTCTGGGCAGTGGTTGTAAATCACTGCCCGGTGTGCACTCAGCCATACCTGTCAGAGTGCAAGCCTGATGCTTGCTTGCAAGGAAACCTGCAAGAAGAGAGGTTTGGCCCTTTGCTGTTGCTGAATGTTAATGTACTGTTTTATTAAGAGGCCAAGAAATGCTTTGGTGCAGACTGACCGTGAATTCAGGGCATGACTTAATGAGGTTGTTCCCCGTATCTTCTCAGCTTGTCACTTCCAGTCTTGGGAAGATCAGAAAAGCCCCTGAGAGCCCTGCAACGTCTTGCAGGACATTGGAAGTGACATGGGTCAGACTAAGTGACAGCGCAGCTGTTGTTCCCCATATCTCATCTCCTGTTCAGAGCTTTTCCCCAGCAGCCTGCAGCAGGGATGCTGTGCTGGGAGCGGGGACCTGCTGTGGGATGCTGTGATCTGGCACGCTACCAGGGGACACAGCCTGTGTCACACATCCATGTCACACATCCATGTCACACACATTGCTCAGGGCACACAATAGCCAGGGCTGTTGTGTAAGAGACCCTTCAATCTGAAGTCTGCACGAACCTGTCTGGAAGCAGAAATACAGAGGCAGATTTGCACAGCCTGTGGCACATTCCCCTGTGAGGCAACGTGTCCTGGTCCCCAGGGCTGTCCTCGTGCGCCCTTGCCATCCTCCTGCCTCTCCAGGATGAGCCATCTAAGGACTGCCGTGTGCTTCTCAAACTGACGGAGCATCACCGTGTCCCTCTAAGGGACATAATCATTATCATCTGCATTTTACAGATGGAGCAAGTACTGCACAGAAGCAACTTGTCCAATGTCATTTAAGGCAGACAAGACAAATCTGGAAACACAACCTAGATCTCTAAGCCCCAGCTCTGCCGTCTCACCGCGAGACAATGCTCTGTTATCTGCTCACAGCAAAGCTCATTTACCGAAGTGACTCACCCAGCAAATGCATCCTTCTCACACGGCCTGGAAGAGCATCACGGCTGCTACGTACAAGAGATTATTTTTGTCTCTTTTCTGCAAGTGCAGCCAATGAATCTGGGAGGTGTCAGTGAGGCTGGGAAGGGGTCCGAGTGCTGCACCACTGGGACAGGGCTGAAGGAGGGAGAGATGTGCTCTATAGCACCTGGGAAATGGAGACCAGAGTGAACTCTGTCCTATCTCTTCTTCCAGAGACCTTTTCTAGGAAGGAGAACTTTGTACAAACGCCACAGCCCTGAGTGGCCCTGAGGGGGCATGGGGTGTGCTGGAGGCAGAACCCAACTGGGAGCTCAGCATCTGCTGGCTGTGTGTCCTGGCTTCAGGCTAGGTGACCTTTTGGCAGCTGCAAGAGCAGGGTTGCCCCTGGAGTTGCGTTGGCGTCAGTGGGCTTTTGTAAACTGCCTTATTAAAAATGGAGATATGGGGAGAGAGAGCTGTGCCCCATACATTGCCCATGCCCTCCGGCTGTGCCACCCAGGTTTGGCCACGCTGTGCCCCAGCCCCACCGCAGCCCCGTGCCCCACTCACGTGGTCGATGAGCTCCTTGATCATCCCGTTCCACTGACCCTTGTCGTCCTGTGCTCCGTACTTGCCGTCCTCCACCAGGCGGATCTCGTAGGTGAAGCCCAGGATGACAGCCAGCTCCTTCAGCAGGTCGATGCAGTACCCCTCGAAGCGGTCGTTCCCAAACAGGGCCGTGTCAGATTTGCGGAACATGACGAAGGGTTCCTCCTGGGCACGGACAGCACAGACCCCATTATGGCTCAGCCTGGCTCCAGGGTCAGCTCGCCAGGCTGTGCTGCCACGGGGACACGCTGGGAGTAAATTAACTTTGCACAGCGCAGCAGCTAATTAGCAACCTTGTTTACCCCACAAAATTTAATTTTGTCTCTTCTGAGCGGCCAACTGTTTTCCATTTGGTGGGATTTCAGGGACAAAAATATCCATTTCATGCTCTGAAATGAAGTGCTGAGGGGCAGTGCAAGGTCAGGGGGATGAATAAGAGCGCCAGTCCTGCACGGTCGGGTGCCCACCATGCTGTGGGTCTGGGGCTGAGCCCGGCAGGCTCTGTGCATGGCTGCTGCAGCCCAATGATCCCCCAGTTTGGTTCTGTTCCGTTTTGAAGCGCTCCCTATGGGATGCAGGGCTCTGCTCTGGGGAGTGGGGAGGTTGGGGCAGCAGCTCCAACTGGAGAAGTGCTCCATGCCCACGGGGCAACGGGTAGCAGGTGTGGGTGCAGCGAGCGGCACGGCTTGGGATGGCATCAGGCATGGGCAGCCACCAAGGGCAGGGAACGGGGGGCGCAAGGGCAGCCTGAGGGGGGAAACACGGAGGGGACGACAGATGGGAATGGCAAAGGCTGAGAAGCAGCGGGCAGGAGCTGGGAGGCAGGCAGAGGTAGCAGCAGCTGATAGATGGCCACAGTGAGGACTGCACACAAGGCTGGTGTCCTTGCCGACAGGGCTGGGCTCCGGCACCGTGCTGGGGAGCAGGGTTGGGGCTGGTGTCTGCCTGCAGCACAGAGCAGCGTTTGCAGAAGCACAGAGCGATGCAGGAGCACCGCTGTGACGGGGCTGAGTTTGGCATGCAGCTCTGTTACGCCCTGTCCCCCCCCAAACCTCCTCCCCGGCTTTCTTTGTTATCTCTAGAATTAGTGCTTTGTTTGTGGATCGGTCCAATCGATGGGTCTGGGTATAAATACGGCAGCTCCAGAGCAGCTGTAAAGCACTATTAATTTTGGGAAGCGCTGTAGGGATTACATACATATTTAACAGCCGAAGCGCCGAACATTAGCACGGCGCCCGCTTCAGTAATGCATCTGCAGGTCTCAAACATTTCCTAGGGGGTAATTCTGAACTCTGTGAACCACTTATTCACGGACTATTTCACAATTTATTACTGAAAATGGCCAGACATCCAATTCACAAGCTCTCTCGGTTTGCTAATCGATTTCTCAGTGAAGGTGCCCTCAATTTCATAACTTCACAGTTCCCATATTGCTTGGGGAGAGCGGTGCTGGCTGCTGGGGTAATATTTCTCTTCCAACAAGTTGCTGCGATATGAACAAAAAGGGGAAAAAATAACCTTTCGTGCTTCCCCTTCTGAGGCTCCTCCTCTGGCTTTCCGGCACAGCAGGACAAAGGCAGAGTGCAAAAGCACAAACAGTTTAAGGATGTGGGTTTTTAGAGCCCGGTCTGTGAGGGCGCAGTGGCTGCAGACTGGGGCTGAGTGCATTCCCTGTGGGCTGCAGGGTCCCCCAACCCCGTGCGCAGCCCCTGGCGCAGTGCAGTTCGTAGGAACTGGTGCTGTCTGCATGTTTTGCAGTCTGTACATCCTTGCAGAGCATGGGATGAAAGCACTGAGAGAAGGATATCAGAGGCAGATGGCTCACAGGTCCCCATCGTTTTGCATTGCACCCTGGTCTTGGAGGGTTACCCCAAGTGGACGTTTCCAGGCCCTGCAGTGCATCCTGAGCCCAGCAGATGCCTTCCCCAGCTTCAGCCCAGCTCTCAGCTCTATCTACCCCTGCCCTTCCTGCAGTCCCATGGCCTCACCTCACCCTTGCGGGCTCCTGCACCTCCCAGTGCCCCCCACACATCCTCCTTCCCCTCTCTTCCCCCTCCCTTTTGCTTTGTCACTTCACGTGCACTTGTGCCATAGCTCCTGATCTGGCTGTTGTTTACCTGTATCTGCTGGGGAGCTGTGGCTGCACCCCCTGCCACTGCTCCACACACAGCCCTCAGTCTCACGGATTGCACAGCCTAAATCTTTCAGCCTCAGAGATCCCCCCAGTAGCAGCTTTCCACCTTCCCTCCCCCCAAAAACAAGAGGACCATGTGGCTGTGAGCCGGCTGTCTGGGGTTGGTGCTCCTTGTTCCTTCGTGGTGGTAACTCCACGAACCTGCACTGTATGATACGGCCGTATCCAAACCAAAGCCACTCGTCATAACTCATTAGATAGAAAATAAAAATTCATTCTGATCTGATGCCTGCCATCAAATCCAATAGCCAACGTGCGGACAAAATGCAGCGTGACAGCTGGCAGCAGAGGGGCCCGCTAAGCAGCCGTGCTTTGCTGGGTAATGGCATTACTCAGAGCTGGCTTATCAAAGATGTGCTTAGAAGAGGGAAAGAAACGCGATTGTCACAGCTCAGCCTGGGTCTGGGGCTGTTCCTGGCATCACTGTGCAGAACACAGCATCCCTGATGGGGGCACTTGGCAGCCATGGGGGTCCCCATGGGGTGTCCTGACTCCACAAGGGCGCACGTGGGGGGCAGAGGGTGTGCTGAGCTCGGGGCAGAGAGGGGGAAGAGTTGCAGTTTCTTACCAGCACAGTGGTGACAATCAGAGATCTGTTGCTCAGTGAGTCCGTGACGTTGGGCCCTCGTCCCTTGGAGATCTCGGTGATGTTCAGACCATTGGAGGGGTTCCATGTACCCACCTGAAAGGAAGCGAGCAGACAGGAGGTGAGCTGCTGGGACACCAGCACTGTTCCCTGGAAATGGAAGTTGCTTTCTTTTGGAAGCAGAGCTGACATCAGCTTGTTTCACCCAACCAAAATCTGCAATTGTCATTCAGCACGGGTCACTGCTTGCTGTGCAATGGGTTGTGTGCTGCATGGGGCAAAGCTGGGGGAAGGCAGCAGGGTTTGGAGCTGAGTGCACCATTTGCAGCTGCACTGCGTGGGATGGGTGGTCAGAGCACACTGGCTGTCAGCTTTGGGCCAAAGCAGAGCAGAATCAAAGGGAGCAAAAATATACCCAAATTTGGTTTTAATTCCCTGAGCGGAGCCCTCCCAGGAAGGTGCCAGGAGCTGCAGGGAGCACCACATCTCCTCCACCCCCCTGGCTCTTCCAGGTGCTCTGCTTTTCTCCAGCTGTCAATTTCAATAAGTCGTTAGGCTTTGAAGGTGTCTATTGACCCAGAAATAGCAAAACATGTCTCTATTTAGAGAAGCTGGCTGGGCAGCTCTAAGCCTGTTAACCCAGACCGTGCAGCACCAGAGGCTGGAGGAGCGTGACGACGTGGTGTGGGGTCAGCAGGCTTTGTAATGGGTGATGCTGCCTGGCAAAGAAACCTCATAAACTCCAGAAGACTTTCCATGAGCGCTGTGAAAGGCTCTGAGTGTTTCAGGTGAAACTCTGCTCTCCGTCTCCCTTCTGTCCCAGCAGCTGCAATGCAAAGGTCTGCATTGCTAATGATGCTAACAGGGGGTCTGAATGAGCCTCCTCTACTCAAAGCTCTATGGGATGAGGCTTCTTCAGGAAAAGGAAATCCACAGAACTTAAGGCTGAAGTAATGAATTTAACAAAATGACAGAAAGAAAAGGAAAAAGAAAACAAGTGCCTTAAGAGAGCTGTGCGGCTCAGATAGTCAAAGCACTTGTAATTAGGTTTAGTTAATGCTCTGGTAATCCCTGGAACATCCAGGAGGTATCGGGATCAGGAGTGCAATCCTAAAGCTCAACAGACATAAGCTGCTCTGCATAATGCAGAACCCGAGCAGGATTTGTTTGCTGTTCAGCATTCTGTTATTTCAGATTAACCATTGACAGCAGCGCGGCGTCGGCGGAGATTTGACATCGATACTCGAGAGCCCCTCCTGAGCCCACAGGAAGCTTTCAGACAATGAGGTGGTGAGCTGTGAGATGTCAGGATTGCTGCAGACAAAAGTTGCACGCAGTATGCATGGAGCTGCAGGCGGCGTGAGGCACACAGCACTGATAACAACGCTGTCCTATGGAGCGCATGGCAGACAGATGTGCAACGTGGAGATGCACTGTGCAGTGCCTCGCACATCTCTCTGCTACTCCAGCACTCCAGAAAGCTGCTTTTTGGGTGGTGCTGCTTCTTTTTTTGTTCAGACTCTAGGGGGAAAAAGAAGCAGTCGGGGTACAAAGATCAGCGTGCGCTCAGTTTGTGTGAGATGGGCTCCGAGCAAATGGGGCTGGGGGTCACAGGGTTTATCTGAAATAATGTTTTCTTTATTCTGTGCTTGGCACCAACAAATGCATTGCTAGGGGAGGGCTCTGCTGACCTGGAGATTTGTTGCTGCAAGCACAGAGCTACTATGGTGTTGTGAAAGTGTGACGACAGCTTCTGCTGGAGAGAAGGGAGCTGGGAGCTGGGATGGGATGGGATAGGAGCTGGGAGCTGGGATGGAAACACTCTGTGAGCACTGCAATTGATCCCCAACCCCAACTGGAGGAGGCATCTGCTCCCCTCGGCGGATTGCAGGCTGCTCCTGACTGCTCCCAGCTGGTGTCCCTGTGGGATCCATCCCCTGTCCATGCCCATGGGCACAGGGCTCAGTGCCTTGTCACTGCTGCCAGCCCATCACCTTGTGTGTGTCTGAAAGCAGACGGCTCCAGAGAAGAGATGAATGGCTGCCCTGGAGCTTGCAAACCTGCAGCACAGCCCTTAGTAGGGCCAGCACTCAGCATCACTCTGCAGAGGGCTCTGGGAGCCCTCGATGTCTTTGTGTGTGGGTTTGGAGTCTGGTGGAGGTCATTGGTGGCCATGAGGCAGCCTCAGGCTTCTCTGTTTTACCTTAAACAAACAGATCTCACCTTGAGACTGCTGTGTTAGAGGCTTTGGTGCTTTTCTTTTGAAAAGTAACTGGAGAAAAGGGAATGAAATCCCAGTGACCACTCAATGACCAGCGTGGTGTCTGTGCCCCTGAGACCTGCAGCAATACAAGAGGCTGAGGCTGCTGGGACAGCCAGAAAACACGCTTTGCTTTTTCTTTATCATCCCTTAAATAACACAGAGGCAAATTAAACTACGCAGCGCATCCTCCAGTATCTAGCCTGTAATAAGTCAGTGCCATTTCCAAGCAATTTTCCTTGTGGAAATCACACCAAGATGATGCTTTCAAGAAGCTGTTTGCTGTTCTGTGAGCAAACCAAGCAAGGAGCTGGGTGGGATGGGTTTTATCTCCCCCTTAGGCTGGGCGAGCAGAGGTTAATGGCTGATCTGAGCATTCCTTCTGCTCCACGCTCTGCCGTGTCCCCAAGAAGTGCCACAAGCACTCCTGCAGCTGGGATCTGTAATCCTCCATGCGCTGCTCCGGGGCCGTGAGTCACAGCAAAGGCGTGGAGAGCAATCAGAGAAATCTTGCAGAATAAATATCCTTATATAAAACCCAGAAAACAGGGAAGCAACGCAACCACCAGCGTCAGAGCTGTGCTGGGGCAGGACAGACACTGCCTACCTTTTCAAGGCCGTCTTCTTTCAGGCTGATGATGTCCAAGTCAAAATCTGTGCGTAGACCGCTGCTCTTGTTAAAGACGATGCGTCCGGTGAGTCCTTCCCACTGGGCCTGGAGGGGAGAGGAAAAACACAGGGCTGTCAGTTGGCATCGTAAATAAGCTTCTTGCCCTCCGCTCTACTATCTTTTAATTAGTCCCACCCCTGGTTCTTTCTCCCCAAAGAACATGATTAATTAATGACCACCTCCATCGCCGTGTTCTGCAGATGGAGACGTTCAGAGCGCTCTGCAGTCCCTGTGCTGGTTTTGTTTGCACCTTTTGTGTCCGACAGCTGTTGGGGCTGTGATGACTCAGTAAAAAACTCCTGCATTCATCATAGCATCCTTGCGGGCTGCATTTATCCTTGCGGTGCTGATAAATGCTGGGCTGTGGGGAGCCCGGCTCTGGGACAGCTCTGGTTGAGCTCATAAATTAAGAGCTGCTTTTGGCAGGATGCTGATGCTCCCGAGGGGAATGGGAGCCTGAATGTCCTGAGCAATGGGCAGCTGTGGGAGTGCTGGCACTCCTGCAGTGTGACCTCAGCAGGTGGCACTGTGGCCATCGCTGCAGCCGTGCTCACAGTGTGTGGCAGTGTTGCTCGGGGTGCAATAGGGGCACACTTATCTCTGCACTGTGCTGTGTTGGTGCCAGAATGGGAAACGACAGGAGGGCACTGGCGTGTGAGCTCAGGATAATTTGCAAAAGGAACCAACCAAACAAATTATTTACACTGTCTTTTGGCAGCCAGCTGGAGCAGCTTTCCACAGAAGGGAAGAAAACATGAAATAGGGGAGAGAGAGAGAGGCAGAGATAGAAGAGATACAATCTTCAGAGCCGATTAAGAGGAGGTTCATTCTCTGCCTGTGATGGGAGCAATTCCTCTCACTGCTCCCACAGCTGCATGGTTGTGCTGCCCAGGCTGGGTGCAGGGCTGTCCGCAGGGCAAGCTGCAGCACCCTGACACCAGCAGTGTCCTTCTGTCTTTGTGTTTATGGACCTTATGGGACTCTGTGCCCAACCTTTTAGGTCCAACCCTGGGCATGTGTCCTTTGCTGCAGCTGCTTCCCTGACTTCCTACGCAAAAAGTCACTGCTCCAGAAGTTTCCAAAGGCCAGGGGGTAAAAAGGTGACTTTCCTACAGAGCCACACTGGCAGGTTTGCACCATCTCCCTGCCTTCATTTGTTCTTACAAAGGACTCTTTGCAGCCAGAGCAACATGTGGGGTCCTGGGGAGAGTTTTCATAGCCCTGGAAGCACGAAACCCTCTGTTACGTGTGCAGGTATGCCTCACTGCTCCTGCTGCAGAATCTTTGCAGTCATTTTGAGCAATTAGAGCTGCAAATCGGGCTCTCACCTCCTTGATGAAGTTCATGAATCGTCCTCCGAAGCGCCAGGCCTTGTGCCGGTGACACTGCAGGGAATTCACCGTCATCTGCGGGGCGCGCTGATAGCACACAGACACCACGTGCACAGCATCATACAGCAGGGCCGCGTCTGTCTAAAGGGAAGGGAACAGCATTTGTGGCTCTGCAGAGTGCTGGTGACACCTGTGCATACAGGGCAGAGATGCAGCAGAGCGAGTTTCTGTTCTTCAGGCTGAAAGAGCACAGCTCTGTCCTGAAATCAGAGCTTGGCACAATGTCATCTGTTTGCATGAGTCTATCCGGGCTGTTCCTGATGCTCTAGCTGCTGTGTTGTCAAATGGAGAAGCTAATTCTAAATGTAGGAGATAGAAACAGAGCTTTCTTATTTCATCTGCTTAGTCTAAGGAGAGTAAAGCATCCTTACATGAGAGCATCTTAGCCATGCACATGTGTACAAAGGGAAAGAAGAACCAGAAAAGCAAAGTGGCTTGTCCCTGTGCATGGAGAACTTTCCAAAATGACCCAGCCAGCACATCACAGCTACATAACATCTGCCTACATTTCAGTTTTGGAACCAGGGAGAACTTTCTGTGAGGTGATGGCTTTGGGTACCATAAGGTGCCCCATCTCTCCTCCAAAGTGCTCAAGGGCATCAGGTTAATTTTACACCTTGCTGTGATGAATCCTGCTGGGGAAAATACATTGTTTGCTAGCTTCCCAAAGCTGCAGAATGGTGTACAGCACAATGAAACAAGTAGCACAGCAAACAAAGGGGAACATCCATCAGGACGTGGCCATGGAGAAAATCCTCCAGCATGGCACTGTCCCCATGGCTGCAGCACCCAAGCGTGATGAGTGGGCAGTGTGTGTCCTGCAGGCTCCTGGCACAGCAGTGGGGACAGACTTTGTGTGTTTGGGGCTGGGAGAGGAGCACGAGGACGTGGCAAGGCAGTTTCATGGGGAATTAGTGTAGTGCTGAGACCCTCCTGCACCCCTGCATGCAGTGTAAAAGGAGAAGAGTGATGAGACTGTCTTCCAAAGGAAAATAAAGCAGAATAGAGGGATACGAGGAGCCTTCTCAAGGTGAAAGTCTGGGAGCTGTGCTACCTGTGGGAAGGATCGGGAGGCAACCAGTCAACAGTTACGGGGCCAGAGACAAACTTGCAGGGAAGACAGATGGGTGAGCAGGTGCTGCACCTTCCGAGCCGTAACTCGGTGGAGCAGAGCTGCCATCAGGCCCTAAAAGGAGTCATCAAAGCTGCGGTAGAAGCTGTCTCTGGGCATAGCTGTGGCTCTTCTTCCCTGCATCAATCTCAGTGAACTGCCTGACCCAGTCCAGTCATGTGCTCTGCTCCTTCTGGAGGCTTCCTGGGATGACAAACCCCATTGTGCTCTGTCTTTGGCAGTAGTGAAAGCTTTGGATTTGAATGCTTTGTGCTGTCGTCATGCTCTGTACCATCATCACACCTTGTACCATCATCACACCTTGTACCATCATCACACCTTGTACCATCATCATATCTTGTACCATCACCATGCCTCGTGCCATCACCATGCTTTGTACCATCACCATGCTTTGTACCATCACCATGCTTTGTACCATCACACCCTGCACCACCACACCCCATACCACCACACACCACACCATCACACCCCACATCCCCATTTCCCAGCCCATGACACCATGTCCTATGACACCCTGTACCCTCAGCACACCCCACACACCCCATACCATCATCACGCCGTCGAGCAGCCCCAGCTCTGCTTTGGGCGCAGACTGCAGCCTCTCCATCGCCCACTTCTCGATGATGGAGGACACGTGGGGATTCTCCACATTGAGGATCCTGAAACCAGTCAGGTTCACTCCAGAGTAGCGGTATGGTTCTAGATCTAGTGCATAAAGATCCTAAAAAGAGAGAAACCGGGTTAAACATTGGATTTAGCTGTGGGGTGTTGATCTCTTTTACACTGGGTTGTGTGTGTGCCATGGCAGAGCACGTGGGCAAGAGGCAGTGATGCTGCAGGGCTGCCAGCTGCAACCCATGCTGCTGTGTGCTGGTGGGACAGGGAGGCGATGGGAGAGAATTTGCTGTGAGCACCAGAGCCCTCCGGGTGCTGGGGATGGTGGAGTGACTCTGAATCTAGCAGACAGCGATCAAAGAGGAACGGAGATGCATCTCTTGACGTTCCAACCAGGCTACACAGTCTGCAAATGAATGAGAGGGCCCTTTATGCAACTGAAAGAAAACTCTCCCAGCCAGGCAGCCCTGAGCTGCTGGCAGCTGGCCCGCGGACATGGCTTGGCACACAGCAGGGACGGGCACTCCTTAATGCATCTCCTGGCTCCGGTGCTCAGCTCGAGATGGACTCCAGCTCAGGGATCATCCTCAGTGCCCCATCAGTGGTGTGGGGGTGAGTGATGAGCCCAGGGCACAACCCAGAGCCTGCACAGCTCGGATGGGACGGAGAGCTGCATGGGTGTAGTTGGGGCATGGGATGCATGGCAGCCAGAGGTTTTGGAGCTGCTTTGTATGTTGTGGCTGTACCAGCAGGATGTAGCTGGGCTATGTGCTCACCAGACACAAGCTCTGTTCTGCCCATAGGCAGCTGCAGAAACACTGGCCCTGAAATGCAGCGCCCTGAGCAAAGCAGAACACAATCAGCACTCACCAGCAGCCAGCACTTCATGCTCAGTGGAAGATCTGAGTTCCTACAGCTGTTTTGCTTTCGTAATATTTAGGAGTTTGATCTCTCCTTGTGCATCCCCATGTCCTTGCGCCCTGGGCTGGCTGCTGATGGATGCTGGGCTGTAACCTGCTGGAGCAGCCTGCAATGCTGTTCATCACAGGCAGCACAGCACAGCGCAGGGTCTGGGCTGGGTGGGCATTTGTTGTTTTTTTTGTTTTCTTGCTGAAAAATGGCAAGTGCAAACCTCACGTCTCATTAAAGTGCAGCGCTCAGGCCCGGTTGTATGCTGCTTTCAGATGGGTTACAGCCACCGCTAGCACACGGAGCTGATAAGCTCAGACATGCAGATGTCTGCTGTGGGGTCCTCTGCTCCATGCAGCACTGGGCTGTGCTCCCACCAGTGCAGCTGGGCAATGCACAGCCCCACCGAGCATCAGAGCACCTCAGGGGGGAATTGCCCTATCAGTTTCTCCCACATTTTCCGCTCCTGTACAGCCACAAATTGGAACATCTGGTTCTATTTTCCACCTCATCAGCATTCTTTTTCGCCACTTTTTTTTCTTACTGCAGATTTATTCTCCCCTCCGTCCCTCTGCCTTCAGGCCAGTTCTGCTCCCGGGGCTCTGGGGGATCCTCCCCAGGTGATGCCATTCCCCATGGGAGCTGCAGTGGGCAGTCACACCACAAATGCACGACATCCTCATGTCCACACTCCCCAGCCTGAGCTTGGGGGCTGTGGTTTCCCTCTGCACAAAGCGTGGGAGGATCCTTGCTTCCTTTGGGGCACTGGGAAGCTTCCATGTTTGCAAAGAGCTGCTTTCCAAAGTTGCTGGGAAATCCCTGGAAGCATTGGGCTCGGAGGACCATCCGTGCTCGGGACATTATGGGATAGCAGAGCTGCACAGAGAGCTGTGCTCCTATAGGGCAGGCCGGACTGGGGCTGCTGCTGCAGGAGCACTGAGCAGAGCCGTGCTGCTGAGCACACTGCAGCAGCATTTCGTGCCAAGTGTTGATGCACTGCACTCGGTATTGACTGGGGACCTTTTAGAAACATTCAGTATAACATAATAGACTAATTCATTAGCACCCCATGGGTCTAGTACTGTAGACGCCGAAGCACATGCGTTGCAAGCTAGGAAAACATTGCCTTAAGGAATGACAGATTAAAATATCTTTCCCATGATATAACTGTTATTTCAGGAAAGTGGCATTAATTGTGATTGCTTATCTATTAATTTATTATAATTCTTCTTTTCCCGCCTCCAGGCTGTACCTACACATGAAATGTACTCTAGGCTCAGCTGGGGCTGATTAATAGGAGGTTATCTGGGAAATGCTTAAAGCTGCCTGGAATAGATAATAGTAGCAGGGGTAATTAAAATGTCTTTTGCATTTGAAAAATAAATTTTGCAGTTTTTAAGGGTTAGTTTTGTCTGCTGCTTTCCTAAAGGCAGAGAGATAAATTGGATTTTCAGAATCACGCAACACTCAACAGTAGAGTAGACAATAGCATCCCGAGCGGGAACAAAAGCAGCAAGCTGGAAAGCCCAGACCAGAATGGCTCCTGGTGTTGGGAAGAAGTGGCCCATGGATAATGAGAGCAGAGCTCATCTCGTGCACAGGCCTTTCTGCAGAGCACACAGGATGGAGCTGTAATGGTGGTGGAGCTGCTGATGGTTCTGCTGGGTTGTTCAGCCCAGATCTGCCCACAGCCCTCCCTGCCATCCCACCCCTCACCCTGCAGCTCCCCACTGGGGGACGGTTGGGGTTACAGAGCAGATACGTTACCAGAGTGGTGAAGATGAAGTGGTAGTACTCCGTCATCATTCCCATTGCCATGGCCTTGGGGAGAGGAGGGAAAGGCAGTTAGTGGGGGAAAGGAGGGAGTAAAACTCTTCTCCAAGGAGCAGTGATGCAGTGGCACAGACTGCACAGGGAGTCCCTGCAGGCATCCAGAACTGTGGGGATGTGGCACTTGGGGACATGGTCAGTGGGCATGGTAGGGTTGGGTTGAGCTTGGATCTTGGGGATTGTGGAGAGCTTCTCCAAGCTCAGTGATTCTGTGATTCTCTGATTCCATAATCAGGAGACAGTCGTGGTTGTCCCTGCGGTGCTGACTGTGAGCTTGCTTTCTGCAGAAAAACACATGCAGGAGCACTTTAAAATCTCCACTGATGGGAAAGCAACTTCACGTCCCCCAGGAGATGTTTACTTCCCTTGTTTTCTGCTGAAATTACTAGGGCAGAATTTCGCTCCGAGGAAGGAAGTGACAGTTTGGAAAGAAGCAGGATGTCAAAAACCACGGGTAAAGGAAAGGATGGAGATCACAAGCCTTGAAGTTGTACCTCTGGGGTGCATCTTCACCCCGAGATTCTTGGGAATCTCTTTCGAGAGCCTTGTACCTGTGGCCTGTGGGGCTCTCAGAGCTGCACACCTGGGTGCAGAAATAGATGTCTTTGAGGACATGTGAAATCAGAGGAGTAAATAGAGGGTTCAGGTGCAGGAGGTGGTGGTGGATGGCAGCTCTGTCCTGCTGCAGGCAGCCAGCCCTGCTCCTGCAGCACGAGCACAGCTGATGTCTGGGATGGTGGGGAAATAAATCCGTGGTGAACCAGGGGTGGGAGTTGCAGGTGAGCCCCAGGATGGGATGGGAACTCCATCAAAGTGAAGGCAGCACATCTATATACTGTGGAGAGCTGCAGCTGTTTGGAGACAGCTGCCAAGGGGAGCAGAGGGGCTGAGAAGCAAGAGAACAGGCATACAGCATTACGAAGTGACCAGAAATGGGCATAGCTGGAGAACACAGATAACGCCCATGAGCAGGCAGAGCTCTCCCACAAAGTCCTGCAGTGATTTGTTTGTCCAGGAAGGAAAGGAACGGAGTGGCCGCTGCTGCTGACAAAAGAGCAAACCCTGCTGACACACAGAAGGGCTCTGGAGAAGTTCCTTCCCTGCAGCCCCCCCTCCTCCATCTTCCTCACTCTGCACTCGCAGCGACAAGCGGAGCAGATGGCACAATAAACTATAATAAACCACATGATAAGTGAACAGCACTGAGCACAGCCAGCATGCTAAAATAATAGGCAGGAGACAATGAGTCCCTTCTATTGCTTTCTTTAATAATCCCTCCTAGGCTTTCTGATTTCTCTTCATTTTGCATCAAGCAGGTTGCAGGAGAAGTCTCTTTCTCTGCTTGCTTTCCCAGCCCTTCAGGGCATCTATTTAATCTGTATGGCAGCGTCTTGCTGGGCTGATCTGAGCAGCGCTCTTCCTGAAATGTTTCCCTCTGTCTGATGCTGACCCTGCCACGTAATGGCACTTGGGTGAGAGGAGCTGGGCCAGCAGCTGTGACAGAGGCAGGAGACAGGGAAGGAGGGGGGGGAGCCTGGTGACAGCAGATCATTGATATCTGGTTAGAGTGCAAGAACTGCACACAGTGCCTGGGAGGTCATGGCTGCAGCACTGCTGCAAGGAGTGGGGCTGAGACCTCAGTGGTGCCACCGTGGCATTTGTGCAGGATGGCCCAAAGGCTGCCTTAGGAGAGCTAGCATGGAATGTATGTGTTGTACCTTCTGCTGTAGGCAGGACTGAGCCCAGGTCCCCACCCCTCGTGTCCCCATCTCCCCCCGTGTCCCCAAAGTCCCCCCGCTCACCTGCCTGAGGATCTGGGCTGCCATCAGGTGGCTGCAGTCGAAGATGATGCGGAACTCCCTGCCCCGCTTCATCTCCTTCAGCAGAGGCCGTGCATCGTCCGTGTCCAGCGGCAGCTGGCGGATCTTCAGGCGGATGTTGTACCGTGATGGGGCCATGATGAGCTCCTGCAGCCGGATGAGGCCTTCAGGCATTGCACAAAGACAAACCCAGAGCGTTATGGGATGGGCTGCCCTGCCCTGCAGGCGGGCATCAGAGTAAGCTGTTTCCTTTTGGTAATAATAGGGATGCAGACAAGCCGTTCCTCCCTGCCCTGGATGCTAAAGGTCTATCAGAGTAAAGGGCAGAGCTGGGTCCTGGCACTGGGTGGGAAGAGGGGAACAGGGCTGCTCCCAAACTCAGTCATCTCTGTTGTCAAACTGCTTTTTCTTAAGCAAATATGCCCTTGAGAAAGGACAGGCTGTGATAATTATCTACATGACAAATTAAAATCCCTGGTATTTATCATGGGCAACAGCAAAAGAAAAAAATGAAAACGCACTTAGATTTATGAATAGCGTGGTTCATAGCGGGCACTTAATCACAACTTGTAACCGTCTCGCTGTCCTTAGAATTCGTTCCTGTTTTATGTGGAATGTACAAAGCTGTGCTGAATGCAGCTGAGCTGGAGCTATTGGTATCTCATGCTGCAAGAAGGAGTTCAGCAGATGCCTATCGCAGGCAGGAAAAGCAAAGCGAGTCCCCGTGCATAGTAGAAGTGCATTAGAATATGCCACGAAGGGAACATACTGTGACCCACATTTGCAAAACAGGAATGTCAAACTGTGTTCTCATCAGCCCTCCCCTAAAGAAACCATTTGGTTTAGTGGAATGAGGTTGGACAGGCTCTCCAATGTGTCTTTTGTTTCTGCTCTTTTTTAATCTATAGCGCTGTGCAGCTCTTTGCTTTGTTTAACCATCAACAGCATTCTTTAAGTGAAAAACTTTGTCAGCTACTTTTTTATAGAATTAGCCAAAAAAAACAAAAAAAAACTTTGCAGAACTGCCTTTGCTTTCAGCTGGGAAAGTCCATTCCCAATGGCAGCCGTGGAGCTGGGCCAGGCACTGCCCTGCAGCTCTGATCCCCCTCATCCCTCTGTCCCAGCCCTGGCTTCTATGTGCCCAAGGATGGAAAAGCTCTGGGATGGGACCCCCGGGGTGTTCTGCACACTGTGAGATTTGGCTTCCAGATGGGTTCCTGGGAGCACCTCCTAAATGGGACCCACAATAAGAAACCTCCCAGATTCCTCCTTTCAAAGCACCTCCTTCACCTACCTGTGCTGTCATCGTAAACCACAGTGGCTGACCTCCATTTCAAGTACTGCACCAGGTCCAGAATGGCATGGCTAAGGGAAGCATAGTCAGGATAAAGGTTGACGTAGAAAGTGTCCTTGTTATCCAAAGGGTGGTGCTTCCACCGGAGCTGGATGTGTGGCACCTCCAGGGCATTGCAGATGGACTGCACAGCGTTGGTGCAGGAGCCTTGGGATGGTCCGAATATTGCTACGACGCCGAGAGCCAGCTGGTCACAGGCTGCAAGGGGTGAGAGGCCATCAGCAGAGCAAGGCTGCAGTGTGGGGTGGGGGCAGTGGGGCAACGGACAGACTGAGCTGTGGAGATGCCAAAGACATCACCCACCTGCAGCCAGGCCACTCAGCCACTGGGTGCCTCTTTGGCATCCTTTGTGCTGAGCCCCCCAAGCTCATCCCATGGGGTGTGCCTGGGGCTGACATCCCCTTGGAGCAGCTCATGTCCATTGATCTGAGCTGAATATGCTTCAGAGGGTAATTACCTCTTAATGGCAGTGTGGCTGGGGGCTGCCCGGTTAGCTCGCCATTAGGGCTGTGTTGGGTATGAGCACAGAAATGATCAAAATTGCCCTGACAAATGTGTTTTCCCATCAATTTTAATAGAGTTTCTTTTCTGCCAAATAATGCTTCCCCGAGCTCCGCTGAAGCTTTCACTGAGAAATTAAAGCAGAACAACTGCATTTAGGGCTGGAGGCATTTTGGGGGGAAAAAAACACTGAAGTTTTTCACAGGAACAGATTATTTCTCTGTCGCCTCTGCTGCCTCCCTCCAAATCAAAGGGCAGCGTGGGGTTTTTTGACAGCTCTGCTTCATTGCAAAGCATTAGGAAAGCTGCCCTGAAAGAAAGCAAGCCGACGTTCTGCACCGGGGAGGTTTGAATTGCTGGGGATACAATGAAATAAACACAGCGTGGCCTACAGACCTGCGTGCAGGATGAGAAGCAAGCACTGAAAGGAGCTTTGTGGGGACAAAAGGAGCAGTTGCTGCCCTGTGTCAGTGCCTTGGAGGGTCGGCCCCGTGCAGTTGTGCACTGAGCCCACGGCTGAGGGGAATGCATTGCCTGCTCACCTTTCTTGGTGGCTTCAAAGCTGTCGTGGAAGTGTATCCTCTGGATGTCGTAGGTCAGCGTGGTGTTGGGCAGCAGCGTTCTGTTCCTGTTGATGATGTTGGCAGAAAATCGGAAGGCTTGCTCCTCTGCGCTCATCACCTGCGTGTTGGGGCCATCGGTGTACTCAAAGATCCCTCCTGGAACACAAAAGGAGCAGGATGGAGCCGTGGATGCTGTGGTTACGGTGGCACACAGCAAGGGCTAGAAGGCTCGGGTGGAGCTGTGCCATCAGTGAGCTGACCAACAGCTCATCCCAGGCTGCTGTAGAATCATAAAGTGGTTCAGCTCATTGGCAGGTGCTGCAGGGAAGCTTTTGGTGTCAGCTTTTCAGGGACAAATCTGATGCCTTGGAGTATGTGTATGAGGCAGGTGCATGGCATGCTGTGGGAGCAGGGCCAGCCCTGGGGAGGGGCGCACTGCTGGGCTGGGCTGCTGCTTCTCATGGCCTTTCAGTGCCCTTCCCGTCTTCCATCGTTCCTCGTGTTTGCTCATCCAAGTCCTTAATTCACACCAGCAGAGATCTGCCTATCCCACAGCACATCAGCTCAGTAATGCACATCTCGGATGCTGCTTCCTCGTGCTCAGGAGCTGTTTGTGCCATTACACCTCCCCATGGGCAGCGAGCTCATGTCGTGGCATTGCTACGTCTTGTCCTCAATTCCCTGCTGACAGCCAACCTAATGGAAGCAACTCGGGGTGGCTGTAAATTATGCACTTGTACATCATTGTAGGTACAGCCCTGCGCCCTTCGCGGAGCTGCGGAAAGGCTCACAAACCCTGCTCCATCTTATTAAAAAGTAAACCAAAATAATTAATGGATGAGCGAGATAAGCAAGTGCAACTGGTAACAGATGGGCTCTGGGTTTGTTAGTGGGAAGAAAATCTTCCTTTCCAATTTAAGGTGGACCTAAAGTATTTCATTACAGACATTGGAGTTGTTCACTGAATGTTTTCACTGGGAAAAAATATTTTAGGTCTCGGTAGTAACATGGGCAATGGGGGGAAGAGTAAAGAAAAGATTCTGGAGACCCATTTCAATCCTATGGGATCTCCAAGCAGTCACTGTAGAACGCCCAGCAGTGTGGGCAGGAGCCCAGGATGGCTGTCCCAGAGCCCCATACTCACTGCATCCTGCTGTAACCTCTGGCTATTGAGGGATGGATTCACCCCTATCAGCTGTACACACCGGTAGTTCATCCACGTTTCACAGGGTAGGGAAGATTCTTGCTCAATATTACACCAGAAACAATAAACAGGAATGAAGTGAGCATGAGGTTCATCCTCTCTGTTCAAAGATTTACTGCCCAGAACATTGTAGCAGAAGATTTTTTTGTGTTTTCCAGCATCATCCCGGAATGATAACTGGTTTCGTGTGACATCGATCACAGAGCAGCTGACACGAGCTTTCAGAGTTCCTTTGCAGCACGTCTTATTAGGGCACAATACAGAAGGTCTGCCTGTGTGGATTACTGCTGCTTGAGCCCAAATAAATTCCCATTCCAGACATCCAATTGGATATAATAGGTTTTTTGACAGAAACAAATTTTCCGTGCAACCACCCAATAGCTTGAATTTAGTACCAGGCAGTGGAAGAGGGCAGGAAGGAGCCATATATCTCTGACTGCACTGCCGGGTGCTGCAGACACCAGGACAGTGTGAAATCCATGTTTGCAGAGGTGCCAGCAGCAGGCACCACTGAGTGCTCAGCACCGAGGGATGCTGTGTGCTGCCTCTCTCCTGGCTCTGGGTCTCTCCTTCAGATATATTCATTGCAATCATTATTTAAAGAGCCTAATAACCGGCTTGGAGCAGCTGATTAATGCATAATCTTCATCATGATTACATAGCATAACTGGCATTAATTTGAAAAGGCGGCTAATTATGAAAATAATTGTTGCAGCTTTTCCATTTGAACGAAGTGGAGATGATTTGTGGGATGGCATCAGCTTGCAGATCGTGGGGAGACTTGGGACCCCCTGTACCCCTCGGTGCAACGTGCTGCAGGGCTCCAGCAAGCAGCCTTCCACTGAGCAGCACAGGAAAGTCAGCACAAGGTCTGAAAACTGAGCATTTACCCTCAGAATGAACATGAAGCAGCCATTCCATGGGCACACCAGAATTCCCATTGGTGCTGAGAGCAGAGGGAGCTCGGAGGGGCTGTCAGCTCCGCAGGGTGCAATGGCTGCAGGGGGATAGGAGCTGTGCTGTGCCCCTCTTGGGTGGAACACGGAGAGCCAACAGGCTGTCAAAAGCCAACAGCAGAGCAGCTTCCACTTTTATATACTTGTAAAGCAGTTTTATCAGAGATAGTAAAAGTAAAAGCTCTCTGGTGTGGCCGCTTCTCATTCAACCACTTCTGTCTCCGTCTGGGTGTTGCTGAAGTTATTTCCAGCACTGGGGAGATCAGTGGCTGCTGCTCCCTGATGTGTGGCTGGCTGGCAGCACCCAGAGCTGCTGTGCAGTGTCCTGCAGATGATCAGAGGGCATTTGCTGCACAGTACACCCAGGAAGGGACCTTGCTGTTTCCTTGCCCAGGCAATGACACACAGGTCCACCTTGCAATGCTATGAGCTGCTCAGCTCACACTGAGGTTCAGACTGTGTTTGTTTGCGTATATATATATATTTTTTTTCCCAAAAAACCTTGTTTTTGTCCCACATTTGGTATGATGGGAACTAGATCTGGGAACCAGCCCATGGGAGATGCCTCAGTGCAGAGTGCAGAGTGCTGCTGGATGCTCTCCATCATCAGCACTGACTGTAAGCAGTTGGTGGTAGAGCAGAGTGCTGGATGGGATGATCAGGGTGGGGGTGGGTTGCAGTGTTGGGTTGTTGGGTGAGCTCCATGCACTGCAACTCTGTGCTTTTCTGCAGTATCTGGGGAAGGCACAGGGAGAAACTCTGAGTCATCAGATCCCAGCAGTGGCTGGGATTCTGACTTCTTGGAGTTCAGGTATCAATCACCAGGCAGGTTAAGTAAATGTTTGTCTTTTCCCTTTAGAGTAGGCTAATTGCTCTCCAGAGAATGTCAATCACTTAATGAGAAAGCACACTAATTAGGATCTGCTTCGTGTCTTATCATTTTGTGTTACTCGATCTGACTGGATGGCCACTGACATTGCTGCTGAGGTGGGAATTGAGCAGCAATTCACAACGAGAACCCAAAGCAAAAGGCTGAACTTGTGCCTGGGATGTGGAGCTCTGGGAAGGGCTGTGCACAGCTGAGCCCAAACCTGTGCACTGCTGCCCCATCCCAACTAGGGATGGTAGGAATCCAGAGCTGTGCCAAGAGAGCAGAGCTGTGTCCAGGCTCCATCCTCTGCTTCGCCCTTTGGTTGCAATCAGAGCTGCTTCCAGCTTTGCAGAAAGCCGGGTCAGGAAAGTCAGAGTGGTTCAGGTTATCACTTTCTCCTCCCTCCCCCTTTTTAACAAAACAAACAGCTCCATCCTCAGCAAGAACTTCCTTCAGCGCTCGGTGCGTGGTGCGATCTCGTCTTCTACTCCGCACAAAATCACCGAGTTATTTAGCTCCGAAGAACAACCATTCCGATAGCACTTCTCTCTCCCCCGCTGACAGTGTTGTTAACACATTTAGACAGCTTTCTGACAGCCTTTCCGTGTGACATCCTGGCAGAAGTGCTTGGTTTGAAATCGCTCTCGCTGGGTGCAGCACGAGAGCTGCTGCCTCCCCTCGCCTTGTGCCTTGGTCCGGCACTTTGTCCTCTTCTGCTGGACCCCGTTTGGGGATGGTGTGAGCACAGGGCTGAGCTTTGCACGACTCCTGCCTGTGCATCCACCAGGGGAGGTTTGGCACTTTGCTTCCGCTGCTGGGAGTGGTGCAGTCAGGGGACGGCACTGCCTTGCTTCATGTGTTCCCAAGGCTGGGTCTGAACCCTCAGGGAGAAATGGGAAAACACCAGTGGAAAGTAAAGGGAGTTCCCTGAGTTGTGCACTGAGTATGGAGTGAACACTGCCCAGTCATAGAATCACAGAATCATTCAGGCTGGAGAAGCCCTCTCAGACCCCCAAGTCCAACACCCTGCTCCCCCCCACCCCCATGCCCATACGTTCCTCATTGCCACATCTCTCCAGTTCTGAACACCTCCACGGATGGTGATCCCAGCACTCCCAGCACAGCCTGTGCCAATGCATCACCACTTGGAGAAGGAACTTCTCCTGCTATCCAACCTGACTCTCCCCTGGTGCAGCTGGAGACCACTACCAAGATTGCCCACTCAGCACATGGCTGCTGCAATAGTACCAAATGTGATGGAGACAACAGAATGCAAAGGCAATATCACTGCAGAGAAAAAAAAAAGGGCAACAACTACTTATTCCCCCCCCCCCCCCCAAATTTTTCTATGTTTCCTAAGGAGTTGCTACCACAGAACACTCCAACCCTGGATACAGCTTCCCTTGGTCTGGGCACTCTGTGCCCCCCTGGTGAGGGACCTGGGGGTGACGTCAGCATCAGAGCTACCCCCAGTGTGCAGCACGGGGATAGAGAAGCATTTGCTGAGTAATGCCAAGGAGATGAATTCGAGCAGAAAATGAAATCTGTCCTGTAAGGAGGGAATTCCTCCTGCCAGGGCAGCACGCCCAGCTCGGCGCCGAGCCGCACAGTGCAGCTCCCAGGAGACGGCATCTCCTTCTTTCTTCATTCTGATATTAAATATGCAAAATCTTATTTCATTTGCACTGTATTAGGTACTCCATGTCACGAGGGGTGACATCCTTCTCCTATGGATAAGCCGTTTAACGGATGAGCAGTCAAGTGGCAAAGAAATACATTATTAATGTTTCTGGTTAAATTAACTGATTAAGAGCACTGTAGCTAAAATGTATGTATCAGCACTTTAGCCTCACTAAATGAGAAATTAATGGAATTTGGCGGCTCGTTCTGTAACGAGGAGTAGATCGGGGCGGGCTGAGGGGCTGTGCCCAACGGGACGCCCGCAGGGAGCTGCAGGGATGTGCCTGGCTCTGTGCTCCCACTGCTGGGTTGCGATAGGGGGATAGAAGGGGTGGGGGCTGCTGGTGCAGCAGGGCAACGTGGGGACACTGAGGGTCAGGGTGGGGGCTGCTGCAGCTCCTGGCGCTGCTCCTCGTTTGCACGGGGTGAGCTGTGTGCCCTCGCA